GCCGGCGAGAGCCAGCAGCACCAGCTCCCCCCGCGCCAGCAGGAGAGCGGACCCCGCACGGGGCGATCCTCAGGGTGACACGACCAGCACTTTCAGGAAAACTTCACCGCCCTCGGTGGCAGCCAAAAAGCAGAAGCAGATGGAGGAACTGACAAGGAGGAAGCAGTGAGCGGGAGACCATGTCACCGCGCCATCAAAGTCCCAGCTCCCCCAGCCCCCTCCCCGAGGCGATGGAGCCACGTGGGTGCCAGGGGGGCTCCGAGGGGAGTTGAGGTTACCACGGCTGGGGCAGGGGATGGGAGCAGGCCCTGGCATTGGGAAGGGCGTGGGGAGCTTTGTGGGGCTCTGCCGGTCCCCGCATGCCCTGGCGCGGTGCATGGGGTGCCGAAGAGGAAGGCGGCTGGAGATGTGGCACAGCAAGGGCTGGGAGCTTGTTCCCACAGGACAGCACATTTCGGGCACAGAGCTCCCACGGCCAGTGCCAGGATCCGGCCCCTTCACAGCCCACCAGCTCCCACGCCTCCTGCCTGAGGCAGGAGGGGAATCGGGGAGCACTTTCCCCATGCAGCAGCCACAGAACTGCCAAAGGGGGTTGTGCGATGAACCTCCAGCCCCACACTGGCCAGGCCCTGCTTCAATCATCCTCGCAGCAACCTGGGATCCTCGTATGAGCTACTTGAGCTGCTCGTACGTGTGGTACTTCAGCAGTACCACACGTAATCAAATAGATACAGCAATCTGCAGTAACTTATTATAATTACAATCTAATTTCTTTAAATTATAGACTGTGTACAAATTGTAGCACCATTTAAAGTATTTAGAAGATCTGAGGAGTCCATGTTACTGCACTGTTAAGATCACTAAGATAAAGGGAAGATGAATAAAAACACTAAATGTCTTCAGGGATGTCTTCATTCCAATGCAAACTAATTCACAGGGCTGTTTGCAAATGCTCCATATAATTAATTTTCTCTGCCAGAAGTTCTATAAGCTGGGGAATTTGCTCTGTATTTTTATATATGACGAGGAGGTTGATACCTCTGTCTAATGCTGGAGCACCCCAGAGCCCTGGAGCAGCCGCCTGGCCATGAACAAGACCCTGGGAAGGGCTGGCAGGCGAGAGCGATGAGGAAGGACAGACAGGGCTTGCAGCAGCTCGTACACCAGCAGACCCATGCTCTGCAGCGTGAGCTACACGGGGAACAGCAAAGCGAGACGGCAAAGACAAAGTGGGGGCAAAGTGAGGTCTGAGAGTCCCTGGGGATACCGGGAACTCAACACAGCTCCTCACCGTGAGCGGGGCACAGAGCACCAACAGGGATGCCGACACCCGTCCTGGCACCTCTGCATGGTGGTCGAGATTTCAGGTGGGGGAGGCAGACCCTGGTCTCTCGCTCTGCTCCCTGGAAAACACCTGCCTGCCGAACCGTGGCCCCACGGCACAAGGCGACCCTGCTGCTTTACCAGCGCAGCCTGGCAATGCTGCGTGCAGAGGGACCTCGCCTCCCGCCTCTCCCTTGGAACACTTCAGCTTTCGGTGCTGTATACTTGGAATGAAAGAGGAACGTAACTTGCTTTTTCCGGTAACTCTGATCAGTCGTGTTTTCATTTTTCCACTTCAGCCCAGCAGCACGGCCAGGCTCACCCACGCGTGCACAGGAGGAGGCTTGTTTGTCCCATCACGCAGATTAGGGCAGGAACCTCATGTCCATGGGGAATAAATGAAACCAGGTCCCGGGAGGACTCTGGACTTACCCAGGGGGGGACTTTCACCTTATCCTCAGCAGCAACAAGGAGCCATCAAGGCTCCCAGCCCCTTTTACACTGCTTACCACAGGATCACAGAAGGGTTTGGGTAAGAAGGGTCCCTCAAAGATCATCCAGTCCAACCCCCTACCGTGGGCAGGGACATCTTCCACTAGATCAGGTTGCTCAAAGCCCCATCCAACCCGACCTTGAACACTTCCAGGGATGGAGCATCCACAACTTCTCTGGGCAACCTGTTCCTGTGTCTCACCATCCTCACAGCAGAGAATTTCTTCCTTATGTCCAATCTACATCAACCCTCCTTCAACTTAAAACCATTGCCCCTTGTCCTGTCACTACAGGCCCTGGTAAAAAGTCTCTCTCTCTTTCTTACAACCCCCTTTAGAGCTTGTGCTAAGTGGGGGGATGAGCCACTGAGCCAGGACAAGTTGGGGGAGGGGGCTGGCCCAGGCACCCCTTCCTTAGGCCCTGGGGCAGGCACCGTGCTGCCTCTGGTTTTGTTGCGGCGTGACGGACCCCCCGAGACCGAATACACACCTTGCATTGGAAATTATTTGAAAGCCCAGTGACCAGCTGAAGCGTGAGAGCAGCCCAGGATGAGATCCGGGAGCCGTGGGCGCTGCCGGAGCCGCAGAGGTAGAGGGTGCTTCATACGAACCCTCCAACGCCAGAGTTGTGTCTTTGTCACTGATGTGCTGGGGTGGTCCTTGCACAGACCCCGCTGCCCAAATCACTGTCACCACACCCACCACCATCCACACCAGCTGCCATCCACACCCGCTAATGGCGACGTTAGTGCCGAGCAGGGAGGTTCGCAGGTAACACTGTCGGCAGAGCTGGAGATGCCGCAGGGACAGCACGGAGGCCAACGACAGGCTGAGGGCTGAGACAGTCTGAGGCAAGCAGAGCACTGCTCCATAGTAAGATACCCTCAGCAAGGCTTAAGTGCAATGTTTTCCTCTCCAAGGAAGAAATCTGCTGAAAAGCTTCTGAACAGCATGGGCCAGGCAGGCAGAAGCTCTCCGGGAGCAAGCAGGAAGAGCGAGGCTGGACGCCAGAAAACCTTCCTAGCCGCAGTGACGGCTACGCAGGGGAGCAGGCTGCCCGGGGAAGTTTTGCCGTCTCCATCGTGGGAGGTTTTTAAGAGCACGTTGGAAAAACCCACCTGTCAGGGGCGGCTCGGGCAGAGCCAGCCCTGCCTTGGGCAGGAGGTCATTGCAGGTCCCTCTGGCCTTGTTCGCACAGCGTTTGGGTTAGCCACAGCATGTGGCAGCAGGAGCCAGGGCAGGGCCTGACCGCACAGAGACAGAGCAAAGCCGCCGGCGTGGTGGGGAGGGAGCGTGGGCCCCACGCTGGGTGACTGCAGCTGGGGCTCATGGGCAACCCCGCAGCTGTGGCACCAAAGCTGATCTCACCAGCACCTCACGCCAAGGCTCTCAATCAGCACACACACAGGAGGAACCAGCAGCAATTAGCCTGGCAACCACAGGCTTGCTTCGTGCTAACGTGGGTGTGCTGCCTCGCCACCAATGCACTTTGCAAACACTGTAAAACACCACTCGTCAGCCAGAGAGCGGTTTGTGCAATGGCAGCCATCCTGCTGTTGCCCCTCGTGCTGCAGGAGCTCTCCTGCCCTGAGATGAACGGTGCTGCCTGCCACCTACGCCAGACCACGACCGCTCCAGCAGCAACCAGAGGACAGCGTGCAGCAGAAAACTGCCGGAAACCTCAGGGAGAGGAAGCGCGGTGGTGGAGGAGAGCCTGGTTGGGGACCGGCCGACATGGCAGCACGTCCACAGCGTGTCAGGAGCCATGGGTACCACCCCTCGGTACTGCATCCAACCCAAGCAGCCGGCACCAGCACCAGCAGGTCGAGGTGTCAGTGCCGCATCCCCGGGGCCAATGGTCAACACCGACACCACTCCCGTGGCACAGGGACCCCTGTGGGACCTTTCCTTTCCTCCCTCCCGCAGACCCCATTCCCAGGGGCCGACGCTCCAGTGGTGCTGCCAACACGCGGCACTGGCGTAGCAGCCTGGCAGAGTGCAGCACCTGGACCGGTGGAAGCAGTCGCCGGTACTTACTGGGCGAAGAGGTGCCGGGAACGGACAATGAACTTAAAGATGTACTCCAAGGCCTTGAAGGTGCGCATGAGCAGCTCACAGGGCTCCCCCCGGCTCGCGTGATCCACGTACTGTGTCAGCACCGAGATCAGCTTCCTGCAGGACGGGGATGTGTGTGGCCAGGACTCAGCAGGCTTCCCGGCCTCGGCTGAGCAGCCTTTGGGGCTGTGCCACGCTGCCCGCCGGGCGCTCCCCAGGCTACAGCCCCCTCACTCCCCATGCCTGCCGTCCCAGCCCTGTCTCTCCCCACACCGTGGCCGACGGGTACGCACTTGTAGGCGAGCGTGGCACTGAAGTGCTGGCGGATGTAGGCCTCCAGGACGGCGTTGAAATGCTGGAACTTCCTGTCAGCCACCAGCCCCACGATGAAAACCTGGGCGGAGTGGGCAGTGGGCACGGCTCAGTGCGGGCAGCAGGATGCCCGGGGACAGCCGCGTGCCCACAGCCACAGGCAGAGCGGCATTGACCCCTCGTGGGGGCTGCTGAGGCTGCCAGAGCCCCCTGCACGCCTGCCCAGCCTGCCGGGATGGGCAGACCTCCAAGACACAGAAAGCCCAAAACAAGCCCCAAGCACAGCGGCCACAGGACTCTTCACAGCCAGTTTGCACAGAGCTCGCACCATCATCAATCCCAGGTGTCCCATGAGAGCCACCCCAACCCTCCCCTGGGCCTGTCACTGGGGTCACTCTTGTCTTGGTGTAGGACAAACACCTTGGAATCTTGCTGGAATTGTCCCCTGGAGGGGCAGTGTCCCCGCAGAGCCACAGCCCTGCCCCGTGCCGGGTCAGCTGGGCTTTACCAACCTGTGGCACCGTGGCGGAGCCGGAGGCACTGCACAGCTCTGAGCATGGTTTGTCTGGTCAGATCAGTGACCCCCATTTAAAACCCACCCCAGAACGACCTCAACCCCGTCCTGGGCACCCGCACTGGTCAGTGGGGTCAGACCCACACTCAGCGCTCGCAGGGAAGCAGGTCCCGCTTACCAGGGCGTCAAAGACAAGCGTGTCATAGACATCCGTGTCCGAATTCTCCATCATGATGGAGAACAAGGCATCCAACGTGTCCTGGAGGAACTGGGGGAGACAAGAGGACTGTGAGGACTCGAGTGTTAACTCCCAGCATCGTCCCAGACCCACCTCTGAGCGTGGGAGCAACCTGCCCGGGCACAGAGCTCCTGTGTCCATCTTCAGCCTTTCTCAGCCTGGGGCATCCCTCCCTTTGCCAGGACACAACTCCCCGGCTCGTCCTGTCCCCTGGCAGGCAGCCTGGCGCTGCCCCTCCAGCCGCCTGCTTGCCCCCGCAGCCTCAGCGGGGCTGCCGGGGGCGGCAGGGGAAACCACGCAGGCAGAGGCAG